TGGCCGAGGCCCAGCAGGCCCAGCCAGCGCACGGTGGGCTCGGGGTCGCCCTGCCAAGCGCAGAGCCGCTCCAGGATGACCTCCTCCCGCAGAAGCCGCGTGGTGGGCCGGCTCTGCAACAGCTGGGCGGGGGGACACAGGGTCAGCACGCTCGCGTTCCCGTGCCGGCCCGGCCGCTTAGGGGCCACGTCCACGGTCACCCCTCACCACCCATCCTGGAAGCGGGCTCACTCCGGTGAAGATGGCCATAGCCGTGAGGCGCTGTGCGTCTTCCGCGCTGCGCAGCTGGGGCAGCAAGTCCGCGAACAGGCCTCGCAAGTGGTGGTCGGCGTGCGCCACCATGGCACTGTGATGAGGCGGAAATGGGAGCTCCCCCCGCCCCGCTTCCGGCCTCGCCCCTCACGAAGCCTCTACCCAACAACCCCCATGCCCCTGCCTCTTATCCCACACCCCTGGCCTGCACCTGGCCAGCAGCAGGACACCCTCCAGGTGGGTGTGGGCTCCCACCAGTCTTCTCCAGCCTCCAGCCCGCTCCATGCACGTGACCACCATGCAGCAGCCATCCCCAGTGAACAGGGCCTTCAAGGCCTCCACTGTGCAGCTGGAGGGGGGGGGTGGGCAGCAGACGACTGGGCAGTGAGGGCCAGGAGGGCAGTGGCCCAGCCCTCACTCCCCCCGGTGTGCACCGCTCACCTGGCGTGGCTGTACGGTAGCCCTTGGTGGGATGGGGCCCAAACCTTGGGGATGTCAGTGGGGCATGGGTCCCGGGCCAGCTCATGTAGCTGTGTGACCAGCACAAGGAGAAGATGCGAGTAGAAGCCCCGTGTGGCACCCACGCAGCCGGACACAGCCAGCATCTCCCCAAGGGCACGAGTGGCCTATGGAACAAGGGGCTCATTCAGGCTCGGACACCGCAGACAGGGCGAGGACAAAGCCTCTATGCTTGAGAGACGTTATGGATGGGTGTGACTCAGGTGAGAGCCTGCTGCCCCCAAACCCCTGAGGCCAGACTCTCCTGTCCCCTTGGGCCAGGGCCAGGGGAGTCCCCTGGCAATGCCACCTACCGCCAGTGCCTCCAGCTGGGATCTGGCCGAGCCCTTTAGCACCCACAGCAGCTGCACCAGCACCTGCCCATTCACGCGCTGGTTCTGGCTCAGGCTGTGCCAAAGCTCGGCTGCCGCCCTGGGGGCACGGGGCATGTGAGCCAGGGCCTGGCGCTGGGATGAGGGGAGTCTCCAGATCGGGGAGGTGGCCACTAGGACTCCAGCAGGAGGAGGGGCAGGTAATCAACCCCGCAATCCCAGAGAAATAAAATAAATGGCATCTGTGCAGACCACAACAGAGCCAAGTCTGCAGGATCAGCTGCCCGGCAGGGACCACTCCGAACCCTGTTTGGCCAGTAACGGTGAAACAAACCTGGCATTATGAACAATCACCGTAGAGAATAAAGCCACAGATAGCTTCTCCTGGGGCAGACTAACCAAAGAGCCATGGGCGTTGGGGTGCAGCAGCCACCTGGCTTGCTCAGAAGCACACCCCGCCAGGCTGGGCTGCAGGAGAGACCTGGAGAGAGAAGGCAGGCCCCAAGCCTGGAACCCAGCACTGAGGACCCTCAGTGGATGAGAGGCAGGAGCGGAAGGCAGGGAAGGCCCTGCCCCGCCGTGACCCACCCCACCCTGGGCCAGTCTCCACAACAAGCCGGAAAGGGGAGGGAAGCTGCCTCGGGGCCGCGGGGGGGATGCGGCGTCTGGCGGGGCGGGGTGGGTTACCGGTCCGGGGTCAGTGAGCATGGCAGCAGTGCACACACCACGTCCCGAGAGTGCTCCAGGGCCAGTGTGCTCAGCACCTGCAGGGCCGCCTGCTGGGGCCTCCACTCCGCCAGGCTGGGCACCTGTGCCAGCAGCCCTCGCACAAGGCCGTGCACCTGGCGTGGAGGGGCGGACGTCAGTGGTCCAGTCTCCGTGATCCCTGCACGTTACCCTCAGTACCCCGACCAAGCAGCTGCGGCCTGAAGGGGGCTGCTCCTCTAGCCCCCAACCCTGGTGGGGACCAGGTGGGAGACTCCAAGGGCAGGGAGGGGACGGGGGCTAACCTGGTCCTCCAGCCGCTCCCCCCGGGCCTCCAGGGCTGAGGACAGGGTGAGTGCTGTCGCCTGCGTTCCTGCAAAGCCAGCCTCGTCCAGACAGGCAGCCGTGTACGACGCCAGGTCTGCGAGGGCCCCCTCTTCCAAGGAACTCTGGGGAGTCTGGGAGTGGGGGCGAGGGGAGCCTATGAGAGCCCCATGCCTTTCTTTTTTTTCCCAGCTCCGTCCCTCTTTACCTCCCAGGCATCCCTCCTGCTCACCAGACGAAGACTGGGTCCCTCAGGGGCTGGCTCCTGGGCAGGAGGCTGGGAGAAGGGCTCACTGCCAGCTGGGGGAATGGCGGCTGCCCGCCCAGGCTCTACCCCGCGTTCAAGCTCAGGTTCGGGCTGAGGGCCGGTGGAAGGGGGTCCCGGGGGCTGCCCCTGGCTGGCCCGGATCCCTTCAGCCAGAGCCGTCACGGTTAGGGCTCCCACGGGAGCCCCCCGGGCCCAGTCCCACGCGCCCCCAGCCATGGCCGCCGCACACACTGAGCTGCTCAGCCGGGCTCAGCCTGCAGCACCTGGCACTGGTCCTCCCAGAAGCCGTGCCCAGGCCTGACCTAGAAGCAGGCCCCAGGCAGGCGGGCCCAGGGACAGGCGTGGCAGCGTGTGGGTGCGTGTGCGTGTGCATGCTCTGTGGGGGCGGGAGGTCGGGGAGCCACACGGGGGTCCCCAGGTGTGGTGCCCGCGGGGGCTTTTGAAGGGTCTTCCCGCCCAGACTGTTGTTGGTGAGTGGCCAGCCTAGGCTCTGCCCACCAGGACCTGGGGAAAGGGCAAGCAAGGTCCCTGGGAGACAGTGGATCTGCAAAGGGAGGGGGAGAAGGGTCCCCGACCCTGACTTCCGACCCGTCTGGGCAGGGAATCCTGGGCAGGTGTAGACAGCCCTGAGGAGGCCCCAGCAGGTTTTAGCAGTCTGGGCCCAGCCCTGAGCTGAGGCCTCGCCTGATTCAGCCCCAAAGCAGCAGTCAGGTCCAGGCTGCGCTTGCGGCGGGCGGCTGCGCTCTCCTCTGCCTCCTGACCCGGCCGGACACCCCGGGCATGGGGATGATTCGGGGCAGCCCTGGGGGGGAGCCGGAAGCAAGAGGAGCTGCCCTGTGCCTCCCAGGTGCCCTTGCAGGTGACTGACATCAGTGGATGGATCACGGTGCGGTGGGGG